AGGCGGTCTCACCAGTCTTTTTGAGGGTCTTACTAAATTTATTGGCGGCTTCTAGAAAGTTCTTGAAAAACCTTAAAAGTGTGGTTTTGAACTCTGTATCCAGTAGTTTGCTTTCCTCCATTTCTGTCATTTGTGACTTGTTTCTTTGTCTCTGCATTTTTTATGCTTCCCTGTGTTGGTAGAGTGGTTTTGTGTGCTAGGTGTCCTGTAAGGCCCAGTGGCTCAGCCTCCCCCGTTACCTGAGGTGGACACTCTTGGTGCACCCTCTTGTGGGCTTTGTGCACAGTCTTGTTGTAGTTATGCCTTGATTGTTGTAGGATCACTGGGAGGAATTGACCTCCAGGCCAGGGTCCTCTTGGTCTGGAGGAGGAGAGGGTTCCCCTCCTTCCAGCCTCAGCCGTGTCGTTTCATCGTATTTCATCCATTCAACACAGTGTCTGGCTTAGAGCTCACCCGCCTGGGTTTCTAACTTTTCACGTTGCTTCTAAGCAAGCCTTTAACTAAACTCCCTGTGCTTGCTTCCTCTCCTGTAACATGGCAGCCATCGCAGCCCCTGCCTCACCCAGTTATGGTGGGGCTTGCATGCGCTCCTGACTGCAAAGGGCGTAGAAGAGTGGCGCATGCACATGCTCTGTGGATGTCAGCTGCTGTGACTGCGGGGGTGGTTCTCATTGAGGGCCCCCTGTGTGCTGGGGTGCAGCAGTGATTAGAGACCAAGCTTTCAGAGTCTCCTAGTCTAGCGAGGCGTCAGAAGGGCCAGGGTCAGCTAAACCAGTAAACTCGCAGTACGGTAGCTACTAGTGCTAAGTGCTGCCAGGAAAGATAGAGCAGAACAAGGGGGAAGAAACAGGAGCAGCATGGGAGGTTGTGATCAGCGAGGCTTCTCTGAGGAGGTGACATTTGAGGCTCGGGAAGTGAGAGAGAGCGGGCACTGCAGAAAGTTCCCGAGGGGCAGAACAGCTCGGGCAAAGGCCCCGGGGCAGGCGTTTGCCTGGTGTGTTGGAGGAACGCGAGGAGGCCTGTTTGGAATGGAATGAGTGAAGGGAAGGGAGGAAGTAAGGGTGGGAAGGGCACCTAGGGCCTTTGGGGACTCGCAAGGAGCTTGGAGTAATGAGGCACCACAGGAGGATTCTGCAAGGGAGCCACAAGTTCGGTTTCTACGCGGAAAGGATTCCGTATCTGTCACCTGTGCTGTGTAACAAGTCACACAGTGTTTCTTATGACCTCCCCTCATAAGTCACACTCATTTCTTCCATATCCTCTTGTTTACACAGGTCAGTCCTATTCATTGTGGGCGGGGGCCACACTGGGCACAGACACCAAGAGGTGCGGGTCATGGGGAGCTCTCTTGGGAACCAGTTACCAGTCTCTGGCTGCTGTGTGGAGAGCAGACCCGCGGAGGTCATTGCTGATACGTGGGCCAAAGACCCTGGGAGGTCCACACAGGAAGCAGGTGGGGCGAGAGCCAGACCTTCACCGAGATATCCGGGCTGGACAGCTGGTCGAAGCCACGTGGCCAGGTTCTGAACTAAATGAACAAGTCACTGAGCAGGAGGGCGCCTCTAACCTGGCCTTCTGGTTTTCTGTGTAAGGTTCTTGTGCCGAGAGGAGCCTCGGAAGGAAAAAGGCGTGCACCATGGTGACGGAGCAGGAGGTGGAGGCCATTGGGCAGACACTGGGGGACCCCCAGCAGCCCCTGCAGGCCCGCTTCCGGGCACTCTTCACACTTAGAGGGCTTGGCGGCCCAGACGCCATTGCCTGGATCAGCCGGGCCTTCAGTGATGACTCCGCCCTGCTCAAGCACGAGCTGGCCTACTGCTTGGGCCAGATGCAGGACCGCCGGGCCATTCCTGTGCTGGTGGATGTGCTGCGTGACACCCGCCAGGAGCCCATGGTGCGCCACGAGGCAGGTGAGTGCTGAGGCGAGGTGAGGGCACCCTCTGCTTCTCACTCCTACACGGTGCCAGCCCGGGCTCAGCACGTCTCTGTAAAGGGCAGGTAGTGTTTTCAGTCCCACTGGCAGACAGGCTGTCCCACAACTCAATTCTACTTTTGTAGCATACAAGCCACCATAAACCAGAGTCAACAGATGGGTGGGACCACATGGATGCTGAGATTTGAATTTCATGTAATTTTCATGTGCCATGGAATATTATCCCTTTGATTAGAAAAGCTTTTTCTAGCCCTGGCTGGTATTCTCAGTGATTGGAGCACCATCCTGTGTACCAAAGGGCCGTGGGTTCGGGCCAGGGCACATGCCCAGGTTGCAGTTTTGATCCCCAGTTGGGGCATGTGCATGAGGCAACTGATGGATGTTTTTCACATCAATGCTTCTCTCTCTCCTCCCTCTCTCTCCCTTCCTCTCTCTTTAGAACCAATGAAAGACATATCCTCGGGTGAGGATTAAGAACAAAGTTTTTTTAAACTATAAGAGCCATTCTATGTGCATATAAAAACAGATGGTGGGCCGGAACCGGTTTGGCTCAGTGGATAGAGCGTTGGCCTGCGGACTGAAAGGTCCCAGGTTCGGTTCCAGTCAAGGGCATGTACCTTGGTTGTGGGCACATCCCCAGTGGGGTGTGTGCGGGAGGCGGCTGATCGATGTTTCTCTCTCATCGATGTTTCTAACTCTCTGTCCCTCTCCCTTCCTCTC